TCTGCGGACCGCGCGCACGCCCGCTCGCGTGCGAAACTCTCCTTGCCGATCGATATTTTACGGTGGTGGTCAGGAGCGTCCTCAGAGAAAATCCGTGAAAAGTGCATTATTCGCGGAACTCGATAGCTTTCCTATATACGAAATGCAGGGACAGTCGTAAGAGGTTGTATTACTCGGCAAAAAACACATATTTTTTTAATTTAAGATTCAACGAAAAGGAAAAACTTTAAATTTTTATTTTATTTTATAATTATATATTTGTATAAAATATATTATTCGTTCTATTCATGAAAAGAACAATTTTACTTGTAGGAATTAAGTTATCCATTTTTTACTGCAAATTTTTTGCTTTATATTCCATTTCTACAGATAGAATTTGAATCTCGTAATATTTTTAGAGAGAGTTTGTACATATTATTTAAATTAAGAAAATTTAAATTAAGATAATTGTGCACGATCGAACATCTATGGACGTATGCAAACTTTTATTTGGAGCGGTCGGTCATTACCTCGATATATCTGTTGGGTCAGTACAACTGACGTATGTGTTTCGCTTCCTTTTATAAATAATTTGTTATAAAGAGCAGGTTTTAAAAGAGCATTTTTTAAATGTATTAACTGTCGGATTCATAAATATAAATTACGATGTTGGAATAGTAAGCACTAGGAGCAATACGTAAATTGCATTTTCTATTACTATCATGGAAAATTTAATTATTCAAAACTTTGATTCGCTTCATGCATTATTATGCATTATTATCGTATAATTTACTATGCCTTTGCTGTATAATATGTTTATTAATATTGCTATGGGACTATTGTTACGTCATATAAAATATTGACTTTTTTTTATCGTAATGCATTACATCCTATACAATCACTTTCATTTTATTCTTTGCAGATCGATATCGTCGACCACCCTCACGGTAGCCACATACGCTCTAAGGATAGTCTACAGTCTGGCCATAGTCTATTATTGTAATAATAATAGGGAAGGGAACTCGCTTAAAAGTTCACCGTTTCAGTCTGATGCATAACATATATACCATGTATAATTTGTAGATTATTTATAAAAGCAAAAATCAAGCACTTAACGAGTTGTTACACATCGAATAAATTAAAAATATCGCAATTACAAAAATACTTGTATAAACATCGCAATCTATATAATTATATCAATCATAATTATATCAATATATTTTAAATGTGCAATTAAACGTTTTGTAAAATATAAGAAATTGGTTTTATTAATCGTTTATTTTTTTAACTTGAAATAAATATATTTTATATATAGTATAACTTGCGGATTATTTATAAGAACAAAAACTAAAATCAAACAAACTTAATGAATATTAATACATTGAAAATATCGTAATAATAAAAATATTTCTCACATTGCAACTTATATAAATGTTATTGTCAATATATTTTAAACATGTAATTAATAAAATATTACTTTTTTATTATAAAATAAAATTGATTTCAGAGAACAGTTATCTTGTTAAAACAAAATTACTTTTAAAAATAATCTGAAATTAATTGCAGTTTAATCATCTCCTGCGAAAAAATGTATACATATTAAATATTTATTATTTATACATATTTTTGTACGAATCACAGAAGACATGACGCATCTATACGAATGCGTTCGGTTTTAATAATCACTTTGTAATTTTTTGACTATGCCGTAAATATTTGATGACTTGTTTCGCTGCATTGCTTATGTCGCTCCGTTTCGCAGACGTCATAATCTCGATTTTTTCGATTGGAATTGCCGTAATCAAATTATGAATATATTTCGGTTTGTCGAGATCATAAGTGACGGATTGTAGAACGCGAAGACAGAGCAACTGCATCTCCTCCGAAGATGCCTCATCATCCAAACAATGACTTAGCGTGTCTTCAACTCGTGATTCGAGCAGATATTGTAAGCCAGTTTTATTCATGCTTACATTATACAGGATCATTAACATTAATCTGTAATTGCGATCTTGAGATATTATCGAAGTTTTATTTTCTCCAATCAAATGTGGAAATATTGATGTACCATATATGGAAATCGAGAAGAAAGATAAGATAGCTGGAAACAGCTATCTTATCCAGCTTTGGAAGTGCAACAAAATAATTCTTTATGCGAATACCTTTTCAAAGATATCGTTCCAGATGCCGACGGTAATTCGGGCGTTAGTTTAATTAATTTTTGCACAAATTCCGTCCCGCTAGAATTTGTAATTAAAAATTCACGACCTTCCGGGCTTGCGGATATATTGGTGACGATACCGAGGAGGCCCATTACAAATTGGTACTCAACATTGCTCGTAGGAGGAAATGCGCTTCTGTAAGTATTAACGAATGCACCAAAAGTCCCATTCACTATCGACAAGAATTCTCCTATTTTACTCTGAAACTGCGACAAATTAATTAAATTAATTAGGACTAATTTAATTTATAGATAAAATGAATTTATAGATAATTTATAGATAGAATAATATTATATATAAATTTCAAAGGTATTCTATTTCTGTCTTCTTTATTCTTCTTTAATGTATTCTAACTATAAATGTAATTAAATGAATATATAAATGTAATTAAATGAATTCTATATGTAAATTAACTTTATATTATATTTAAATGTTATTCATAGAACTAATTTTGTTATATTTATAGAACAGTTAAAATATATTTAAAAAAGTAAAATTATATTTTGGAAATTTATTTTTACACATTTAATTATATATCTACTTAAATTATTTAATTACACATCCATGTATAATTTTTTCGATAATGTAGAAAAACTTGCAATATTATATAACTTAAAGATTTTTATCCTTTATCTTCTATTATGTATTTATAATGCAACAAAATTTCTACGCCATTTTACTTAATATTATCAACGTATACTTACGTTCGATAACCAAGTGTCGACTATTTGCGGAAACCTAGAAGCACGCCATGTCAAGTTACCTAATACTGCACCAAGGCTTGTGCAATAAGTACTCTGACTTAATATCTGCATGATATGGCAAACACACAAATAAATTAACAAGTGATATTTTAATTAATTACGAAGCTATTCTATTTGCATCGTTTCTAAAATAAGAACAAATAAAAATACTATTGGTATTTACAATAGGATACATAAGCGCAAGAAAATATGTATGTAAAATAATGAAGACATTCTATTTGCAGCGTTTCCAAAACAGTTACAAGCAAATACTGTTGGTATTTACAATAAGATACATAAACGCAAGAAAACACGTACAAAATAACACTGATAATAATAATTAATGGAGATAACAGCATCTATCAATATCGAGATAAAGCTTTACTTGATCTTTCAGACGTTCTACTTCCTCGAATGCTTCTTCTTTCTCTTTCGTTAGACACTCTATTTGAGTATGCAGTTCTTCGCATTTTGATTTCAATGCTACAATTTCATTCGTATTATCTAAAAGTAAAGATATATAATGAACCCGATATTTAATCTTAATTAGAATGAAAAAAGCTTGTATGAATATAATCTTAATCACACGCAAAAATATAATAATAAGATATAAATTTTATGAGATATACTACAAGCTGAAGCATCACATCTAACGTGTTGTATCAATTTTCAACTACAATATTTACTTCAGTATTTTACATTTCCGTGCAATATGATATTAAATTGAAATCTTTTTTTGCAAAAAATGCAACCTTTTGACGCATTAACAGAAGACGTTGAGAATTTATCGAAAAGTGTATGTGTTTTTTCTCCATTTGTCTCTTCTTTATGTGATACAGCTTTGAGATTATCAGTCGCAAAAATCTGTGGAATGTCATCTATAAATTCGTGCAAATTACACTCGGTGGAGTTCAAAATTGTCTCCAAGGAATTCTATTCGAAGAAAAATTTAAAATCGCAAACGAAAATTAATATGTATAACAACAAGCGCTACAATAATGCAAATAAAATACGCACTAGGAGTTCATGTTCATTTTCTAAATTAAATTCGTCCATATATATGCGTTTTCGCGTTATCGAGGAAGAATAAAACAATCTCACAATAGTTGTATGCAAATATTTTTCAGATTAATTCGTTCGCAGAATTCTGCTGCAATATGACAAACACATGTAATGTCACGATTTTAATTTTTGATGTTTCTGTAACCTAATTAAATTCGCGATTAATAATATTACAATTTTTACGCTATTCGTTGTTTTTGCGTGCGATGTGCTATAAGAATTTAGAAATGCGAAATTATATTAACGACATAAATATTTACGCATAAATAAATATTAAGATTTATGAAAATTAATATAGATATAATTGAGCGACGTTGGATGTCTTCATTTAAAACAATTAATTAATCTTCAGAATTTTTTTCATTAAGAGATAATTTCACAAAAATAATATCTGGTTTTTAATTATATCTGGGAAAATTATATCTTCAGCAACGCTTTGACTTCAATTGCATTTGGTTAACTTACTGGGCAGATTGTACCGTAATTACTGAAATTATACGTGCGCAATCAAAAAGAAGCACGAATTATGTTACCTCGAGATATACTTCGAATACAATACAAGGTATTCCTTTGAAAATAGCATTTCTTTTCTTTTTGAATGCTATCTCATAATTCCTTTTAAATGCTATCTTTCATCACAATACATTTAAAAAAAAAAAAGGAATTTACTTTTTAATTTTCGTTAATGCTTGTTATTAAGTTCATTTTTGAGTGATGTATATGATCACTCTATGATGATACTAATTCAGATTGAAATTCTATTTATAATTTTAGGTGCGTAGAATATAAATAAATTTAAAAAAATAGGAATACATGTACATAAATTAAAATGTATGTAATAATTTAATATCCGAAGTATACAGATATATAAAATTATATAAAAAGAAAATTTTTAAATATAATGCGAAAATTAAAGTAATTTAAGGTAATTTTTACATACTATTATTTTATACATAATTTCCACTCTTTAAAAATTTTTAAAGTGAGATATACAAAAAATTTTAGAGAATATCGTGATAATTCCAACATACTTTAGTAAAATAATAATGCAATGTATTACATAGATTTTGGAATAATTCAATTATTTTTCTTATTAATTATTAATTCTTTATTATTCTTTATTATTAATAAAGAAAAATAAATTGATAACACTTTTTAGGATGATGTCTTTGAAGGATAATAAATTCTTTTATTATTTTTTTATTATTCTTTTCTTAATCTTTTCAAGTTATTTCAAAATATGAGACGCTGAATTCAAAGTCGATCGCAAAATCGTGCATGCTATGCAAAAGACACAAGAGACCGTGCTAAATCACCGGCGACATTCCGCCGTGGCGTGGCTTCCGTTCGCTGCGATAAGATAGGGACTTCGTACATATGTACACTCTAGTTACCGAACATACGCGAATAATGTCGCGTGAATTGTGAACGCGCCATATTGACGTAATGGCGACGCGATCGATTTCTCGCGTGGTTTAACTCGAATGAGTTTCGGAACGCACGGCGTGCATGTTGCGTGCCTCTACTGCGTCCCGCGCTCGCGCGTCCCTCCCCCAGTTGTCCTACGATGCGCCAGAGTGGTAACAAGCGTTTACGCTTCGCGACTTGTGGAAGTTTTATTATTTTTCACAGCATCTCGGATATTTGCCAAGTGAAACCCATCGTTGGAGACCGCACGGCATAGTAAGTAGAGTACTCGCGAGCCAACCATCGCGATCCCGGACTGAGCCTTGGAGACACATTCCAATCGAGAGCCCGCTTTGAGAACGCGCACCGACACTTTCCCGCGTATCGCCGCCGATCCTACGATCGTTTACATTTACGTAGCCTTCGAACGGGCGGTTACGATACTTACGCGGCACCCGCGCTTTTCGACCGGAGAAATTCCTACGTCGCTTAGTTATTCATCGAGGCTCTTGTGTACGAAACTTCTCGTTGTAAAATGATAATCGATCATTTTTAAGCTATCTTTAATTTTGCATTAAATCTAACTTATATAAGTTCAATCGATCTAATTAGCTTGCCAATCTTGCTTTCCTAATTATTTTGTGCGTTATATGTATACACACACTCATATATGCACATGTGTATATATATATATATATAAAACATGTGCACACATGAAACATTAGCTAGGAAAGATTTAATTAACAAATAATTGTAATCAAGTTTGAGTTAAACTTTCAAATATATATGTAGGTCTCGCATATAAATCTCACAATGAAGTTTTCGGAGGGTGAAGAAGTTCTTGCCAAGCATCCGAATACCTCTGAATATTATAAGGGAAAGATTCTCAACGTCAGAGGTGATCGATATAAGATACACTTTGAAACAGGCATTGAGTATACAGTTAAAGAAAATGATATAAAGGTAATTTGTTAATGATTGATTGGAGGAACATTGTTAAAAATTATACTATTATATAGTATAATTTTAATTTTAATATAGTTTAATTTTAAATTATACTATTATACTATTATATAGTATACTGTTATATAGTATAAAATTATATATTATTCTCTAAATTCTTTAGAGTAGAATCTGATTCGAAAGAATAAAAATTGAGCTAGTCTTGAAAAAGAATGGTTTAATTTTCAATCTTTAAGAATAGATTAAGATTTCACTCTTTAAAATAACATTCATTCTAAAAGTTTTAGAGAACAAGGAATATATAAAATGAATTTAAGACTAAATTTTATCTTATATATATAATTATATATATAATTTTTTATCCTCAAAGGCTGAGAGAATAGGGAGAATCTCGACGAGAACAAACAGAGCAACAAAAAGCCCTACAAGACGTTCTCCTAGTAGGAAATCACCAAGTAGGCGATCGCCTGGAAGACAGTCGCACAGATCTCCTGGAAGATCGCCATCATCTACGACTAGGAAATTACCTATTCGTAGCACACGTCTCGCTAAAATATCTCTGTCTCGTATAGATGTCGAAAGAGGTAGGAAATATCTTTTTGATATGCAACATTTGCTGCTTGTATTCTAATATTCATGCAAATTTGTTCCTATTCATGAACAGATAAAACGAGCAATCATAAAGGAAGCGACATAAAGATACCGAATGAGAGTCCAACTGATTCGTTGCCTTTGCAGCAACGTTTGAAGGAAATTATGACTGTAACACATAGACCATCGCTTCTGAAGACTGAACAAGAATATAAATCGATTATATTAAGAAGTATTGATAGAGCTGCCTCGCTTCCAGTGGAAAGGAAAAGTTATGTACAAGATTATCCTCTGGGAGAAAAAGAAAGAGGATACTCAATGCAAAGAGATCAAGTATGTTTTAATAATTAATTATTCTATTCCTCCTTTTAAGCTTTATAATAGAATAATGTGTATTATATCGATAATTGTTTCAGGATATAACAAAAACTTTACAGGAAGGCGAAAAATGGGAAACGGTTGTGAAACGTGAGAAAGAAATAAATAGAGTTGATAAACCGCAAGAATGGGGTGGATGGGTTGGGACAGTTTTCCTCACATTTATATTACCAATGTCCGTAATCTTACCACAACTCTTATGCTCAAAAGGACAATGCAAATCTACACTTATAAAACTTTCTGCTGATGTGAAGTCTTATATAAATTTATATACGTTGCTGTCTTATATTGCATTTTTAACATTATTGGCTTGTATTTCGATTATACCGATTGGGAAAATCATAGATGGACAGCAGAGTAAAATTGGAAGACTCCGATATCGCATAAATGGTACATTTTAATAGTGTGATTTTTAATTACATTATTTTAATGTTTTTTTTAATTTTTCAGGCTTTTTGAGTGCTATAGTGGCTATGATGGGATTTGGTTTATGTGTATACATGAATATACCGGTCAGTGAATACATTCTGAATAATATCGTGCAGTTGTCTGTCAGTGCGTGGATTGTGGGAACGATTTTAGCTTTGGGATTGTATATTAAAGCAGGAAAAGCTCCAGTAATCAATCTAAATATATACGCATCAACCAACAGCAAGATATACAATTTTTGGCAGGGTAGAGAAATTAATCCACGAATTGGCACTTTGGATTTCAAACTGCTGTTAATACGAGCTTCTCTCATTGGCACAGTAATTGTTATTTTATGTTTTTATTTTCGCATGGATTATACAATACATAATAATAATTAAGTTGAATGTGATTACAATTATATTTTCTATTTTGTAGTTGATCGTGAACACAGCCATCGCCCTTAAAGTTGTTGGCAATATAAAGAGTCCAAATATTGAGAAACTTGATGTAACTACATTATTAGCTATCTTGTTGCAACTATTTTATATTCTACATGGATTAATATACGAAGCTACTATCTTTACGTCCTTTACAATAATGTACGAGGGAACCGGATACATGACATGTGTTAGTCATTTGTTGTACCCATTCTTGACGACTCTCACTACAAGATTTATATTATATCAAAAGTAAGTTTAATAAATAAATATATTAAGTAATATTTTAATATTTTTTATTTAATACATTTTCAGAATGAAACTTGATTACTTTGTTGGGTTATCTATTTTGAGCTTTATAATGGGATATGTTTTGTATTACACTAGTAATTTGCGGAAAGATGAGTTCAGAAAGAATCCAATTTCATCAACAGTACCTTGTAAGTGTAAAGATGAAAAATAATGATTCTTTTTTTTGTCAAAATAGACTTATATTTTTAAAATTTACAGATTTAGAAACCATCCCGACATCACGAGGAAAGAAGTTGATGTTGTCCGGTTTATGGGGTCATGTGAGACATCCCAATTATTTGGGTGATGTTATAATGCATTGGTCTATTGCGAGTATTGGCTTAGCAAATGACATTCTACCATACTACACCGCGATCTGTTGTACATTAGTACTCGCTTATAGAGCTGTGAGAGACAATAAACGTTGTCAGATGCGCTATGGATATGCATGGGAGCAGTATTGTTCGCGTGTGAAGTACATGATTTTGAAACGTATATTTTAAGATAACAGAACGCATAGCGTGGTATTTTTTAAATACCAAATTCTATATCAGTTATCACAGAAGATAACGTTCATTATATTTTATAGGATCTCTAATTTTGTGCATTTTACGATATTTTTATGAGATGATGTAGTGATATAGTATTATAAAGTATACAAATATAGAATCGGATAAGAGCCA